TCCTCGCCTCTCTCTCTCTCTCTCTCTCTCTCTCTTTCTCTTCTTCTCTCGCCGCGCACCGTGTAGAATTTTAATCACGAGAATCATAAAAATCCCTTTCGTGGCACACACACTTCGTTCCTCCTCCTCCTCCTCCTCCTCCTGCTTTGATGAAGCGCAACTTTTTATCGCGAGGATTTTCATCGCGCGACATTTTATTATTACGTGAGAGAAGTAGGTGGAGAGAAGGGAGAAAACGAGGAATAAGAAGGAAATAATACTTACATCGCGCCCACGTATAGGGCGTCCCTCTTACTGTCCAGGTACAGCGTCCTGTAATACAGCATCCCGCAGCTGAACTCCCTCACGTGTTCTGCAAGCAAAAGTAAACAAAGGGATTAAACCAGGGAGAACTGGGGGGGAGAGGGAATTCATTTCTCTCTCTCTCTCTTCGTGGCTCGACGTGGATTCGTTAGATTTTCATTATGACTTTTATAATGGAACGGGTGAGGCCGTTTCTGGCGAGGGAACAAGGGGTTCGTTCTCCTCGCTGTCTCGCCGTCTTCGTACGAGGCGGGCAAAGCCAACAGGCGACTTATATCGCCGTCATAAAACTCGTTAGAATTACGGGACACGTAACAATGACGTTTCTCGTTTCATCGAGCGGGTGGCGTTTTTATTACAGGGAGCATTGTGTGTGAGCATCGGTATGCGACGAATGGATCTCATTGGCCGGGAGAGTTACGTTCATTGGATGATTTATTCATTGTTCAAGTCAAAATTCGTATGAGAAGAAACTTGTTTTATCGATACAAGATTCTTGGTAAGATGTTTTTATGGTTTGGAAAATACGTTGAATATTATAACGTGACAAATTTAATTACTTTATTAAGATATTTCTCTTCATCTCGAAATAAATAAGGTTGAAACTTTCGAGAAGCGTAGAAGAGAAGTATAAGCAGAACACGTTAATAATTAAAAATGTTAGATATACAGTGGAGACAGATAAATATAATCCTCCTTTCCTAAATAAATAAATAAAACTATGCCAGGGACGAAGATCGCATTTTGATTTATAACGGCAAGAACCGAGCGAGACTTATTCTTTTCTTTTCTTCAAAGAGAAATGTTACGAGACACTTGGCTCGCCCATTCCGTATAACCGCGATCGTAAAATCAAGGCAGCATTAATTCACGAGCGGCGCAGTGTCTTCGTGTTCTTCGCGCGAACTAAAAATTTCACCGCATCGAAAAAGGAGCAGCGAGGAGAAATCGTTCGACCATAAAATACATCTCTCTTCAACATTTAAACTGCGTGAATATTGGACTAATCTCGAGTGATGTAAATACGTCGGGACAAAAAAAAAAAAAAATGTCTCCTTTCCTCAGAAGCAAGAATAGATCGCGAGACGAATAATAAATCGCGGGGAATCACGATTCAGCCACGCGGAAAGCTTCGAATTATACGATGCTGAAAAATTGGATTCATCACTTTGCTCTCTCCCCCTCCCCCCCCCCTCCTCTCTCTCGCCTTTTTATAAAGAAAAATACCTGTAAGATTGGGCGGGAGTGCACGGCCATTTTTCACAACATTAAGTCAAGCCGGCAATCATTTAGGAGCAGCGCACGATTCCAAGACAGGAGAGGAGGAGGGGGGAGGATAGAAGTCGAAGGGGTCGTTCGCGCTCTCCCTCTGAACACCCTTTTCAACCCTCTATCTCGTAGGCAGACACTGATCTGCTTAACATATGAAAGAGAGCCGCCCTTTCCTAAATATACTCGTTCTCGTACGCTCTGGACTAACAGAGCGCGAACAATACTATATTTTATGCGGTATCAGAAGGGGAGGAGGCTGACGTCGAGCGAAAGGGGTCCAACTGTCGTTGTTGGACGGGCTGGCTTTCATCTTTCTTCCGCGTGTTTACGTCTCCTCGCGAGAGACAGAGCCCGATCTCTCGTCTCTTTATCTACCCCGCTTAACACGATTGGCTAACTCGAATCGATGGTGGCCACGGTAACAATGGCACTTTTTAGCACGAGAGTGGTAGGCCGTTATCGCGTGTCCACCACCACTTGCGATTTTTAATTCGAATCGTGAACATTCGATTGTCACGGGGATTCGAGAGTAAACATCGGAAATTGTACGGTTTGAAAGGTTTTCATATTCGGATATCGATTGTATATCGATGAACAATAACGTAGAATAGTATTCCAAAGATCCTTAGTTCCAAGTCGAATCCGTTAAAATTTATCAATTGTCTAATATATCACGTCGAAAATCGACGCCTCCACACGTATAATAATAGCAGTGAAATAAAACCGCGCCTATAAAATTCTGCAAAAAAAAAAAAAAAGAACGAAAAGAGAGAACACATTGGAATCATTCGATGCAACGTTATTTGCAGTCTACAACATTCCCAGCCCCCGGTTCGTTAGATAAACCGCGTGGCCCAGGAGCAGACTGTCCCCCAGGGAAGACTGAAAATTTATATTCTCTCGCAAATATCGGCGGTTCGTTTTTCCGGCTCGTCAGCGCCGCTCGGCGCGTTCGTCGCGCGCATTATTCTGATTTTATTGCCGCAATAAAATCGTATCGCCTCGCACGGAAGATGATGGCTGCACCTGCACCTCGTTCGACCAGTTGACATAACTGTTGGTTCGTTCGGGTGCTTACTATTTTCGGCGCGACCGGTGATCTTGCGCGGTTGTCGCATAGCTCGGCACAACTTTTCGTCGAGTCTCGTTCGAAGTTGAGGTACGTGTCGTGGGAAATTGCGGTTCGAGTACGTACATCGTTGTGAAAGATTAATTTTACTCGCGCTCGGTCGATGGATAAAGAGAGGAGCCACGGCATCTATTTCCGTTTCCCCAGAAACTTTACGGCCGAATGGAAAGCAGTAGAAGTGAAGAATCAGAGTATCTCAACAATTGTTAGTAAAAATGGGATTATAGTTTCTACATTTTAATTTCTTTTTTGATTTTCTTTTTTTTTTTTGTTTTTTGGATGAAAATATTTGAACGTATGTGCAAAGTTACTTTTGCAATATAAATTTAATATCTTCATAACAGTTTTTTAAGTATACTCACTTTCTTTTGTGTGTGGTTTTTATTAAAGTTAATACTAGTTTCTATAATGCTTCTTTTTATTTAACAGTGAAAGTTATGTGTATCATTTAAATGTAATCTTAAATAATGTGATAGGAAATATTGTTTTCAAAAAATTCTTTAGAGGTTGAATATGACGTATTTGTTTTAAATAATTGTCAATCGTGTGTCTCTTTCTCCCTCCCTTGAATCTTTCGTTGTTTGCGTATTTATCGAGACAATAATGCATTAAAGCGGCAAATTATTAAATCACTAATTGCCAAATATTTGCGAGCGCCTTTGCTTGTTGAAATTTCTATGACTATTTAGTAGGTTAATTCACTGAATATCTCTAATCATGCAATTATAATCCAAATTCAAAGCTTTAATGATTCTGCTGTTCATTGTATACAGATCTTTCGAATAATACGTGTGTACAAATTGAAACAAAGTTATACATTTATATAGTGACGATTCGGAGAAAAATTAAAAAGAAAGAAAGAAAAACATCGTTCTAACTAATTGGCAAAATAGTAAAATATAAAATAAATTTCAAGAATTCGTGGAAAATATTATTTCAAATAATTGAAATCAAAAGGAGAAACTAAAATAAATGTTGTTCGAAATTTTACCTATGAAAACTATGAATTTATGGAAAAAAACAATTGGACAATTCCAATCATAAAATTCACAATTTTATAATTCAATTAGATGCAATTTTTCTGTAATAATTTCATCAGAAATTATTACAGAAAAATCAAACTTATTAAATAAGAACTTCGCTGAGTAGAGTATCTTTCTATCTTATAAGAAGAAAGCTAACAAAAATCAAAAAAAATTTTGTTTTATCTTGACATTAAACGCAAAGATTGAATTAACCAAATATTTAATTACCCTTTTTCTCAAATCAAAAAAAAAAATAACTACTTTAACCATGCACCGATGTTGATTTATTCCTAATAAAAAATCATCACTATGTAAACTGAGAATATAAACCGAAGTTATTAAAGATTCGCTCGCCACTTTCTCTTTCCTTTCACTAATTCCATCCTATTTCAAGATACCAACCATCCCATTTTCCAATAAACGGAGTTCATCCTGCATAAAAGGGCAAAAATCACGAACGACAATTCTTTCCCTCCTTTTAAATTCTCATTAATTTAATTCTCCAAATTGCTGTTGACGATATACCCTTTTTAACCTCCCCTCCCCCTCCCAGAAAAAATTACGACCAACCGTCTATTACCACCGCCTACGATTCCCCGTTAAAAACACCGTGGACGCGATTATTTACTGTAAATTGCCCCTTCGACCAGTCGAAAAAGTGCCTTTAGGTATCGCGGCGCAGGATAACATCGTTCCTCCTCCGGGGTTGTTAACGCGTGGAGATAACGCTAAACGAGGCCGGGGCCGGAAGCTATCCATTCGAATTCGGTGGTTTCCGCCACCGGGTTAAATTCGCTTAAGCGGTATTTCTCAATTAACCGAGTCGATACCCTGTTTTTCGTACACTCTTCGTGTTCATCCGTCTCGAAAGAAGGCGTCCCCGTTTCGAGGCTCGTGTTAACCACGACAAACGAGATGGTATCGTTGGAACGCGGCAATTCATCCCTCCTCGAAACGTCGAGTAATTTTTTATCATTACTCGATCCGTTTGGATGTTCGTCAACGTTCGTTGCGTACACGAGCTCGCGTGGATGATAGATCTAACGAATTGTTTCCCGACGCAGTGTTTCTCAATCTGACTACCCTCGAAAATTTTGTGAGAAATATGTTGTTGTTCGGAATAATACGTGATATTTTATTATCGAATATTTCGAAAAGGATTTTCACTCGACGATATCCTTTTTTTGTTCTAGTGTTCCGATACACTAATAATCCGCTATAAAATACTGTTAAAATTTTCCACGATAAATTCTTTAGATTTTTGAAAAAGATTTTTTTCCAAAATGGTCGGGATTCGCTGGAACGAAAATTTAACCGATTGAAAAAGAAAGAAGAGTGTCGAATGCAGAAGCATTCATATCCGAATGATTTCGCGCGTCAAAAAGATGGAAACTATTAAAGTCACTCGACGAACGTGGGGAAAAAAATTGTTCATCGATTCATCTCTCTCTCTCTCTCCTTTTCTCATCGCTAACGATACAAAAGGAGGCA